TAATGAGAATGGCAAAATTTGTTAAGGTTTTAATAAATTACTTGCAACAGCTTTACTTCAGCTCGCGATTAAATCTATACTAACTACAGCTTCCAGAAGGCAGACGTACAAAAAATTCACACTAACACTCAAACTATAGCTACAGACAAAATAAATAAAGTATCAAAGCTTCAACAGTTTATTTGGGAAACATTTTGATCTTCGTGAAAAAAATTGTCATCAAATCGATGCCAGAAATATTTTTTGATTTGCTTGCTCGAGACGATATCGACCATCAAGAACCACTGACACTTAGCCGATCGTCCCAGTAACGCGTGACCTGGTGCATCTAGATGCGACCGATTGCCTAGATGCGACCGATTGCCTAGATGCAACCGATTGCCTAGATGCGACAGACTGCCTAGATGCGACCGATTGCCTAGATGCGACCGATTGCCTAGATGCGACCGATTGCCTAGATACGACCGATTGCCTAGATGCGACCGACTGCATAGATACGACCGATTACCTAGATACGTCCGATTGCCTAGATGCGACCGATTGCCTAGATTCGACCGATTGCCTGATGCGTCCGATTGCCTAGATGCGACCGACTGCCTAGATGCGACCGATTGCCTAGATTCGACCGATTGCCTAGATACGACCGATTGCCAAGATACGACCGATTGCCTAGATCCGACCGATTGCCAAGATACAACCGATTGCCTAGATGCGACCGATTGTCTAGATAAGACCGATTGCCTAGATACGACCGATTGCCAAGATACGACCAATTGCCTAGATACGACCGATTGCCTAGATACAACCGATTGCCAAGATACTACCGATTGCCTAGATCCGACCGATTGCCAAGATACGACCGATTGCCTAGATGCGACCGATGGTCTAGATACGACCGATTGCCTAGATGCGACCGATTGCCTAGATACGACCGACTGCCTAGATGCGACCGATTGCCTGATGCGTCCGATTGCCAAGATACGACCGATTGCCTAGATGCGACCGATGGTCTAGATACGACCGATTGCCTAGATGTCACCGATTGCCAAGAAACGACCGATTGCCTAGATGCGACCGATTGCCTAATACGGCCGAATGTCTAGATACTAACAACCGTCTTCATAAAACTGATCGCCTAGATCCGAACAGTTTTTTCACGTCTGCAGTATAAATAATTAAGTTACCGCTCATATAAAATGGCCAAACAGGTATTCGCACAAACCAATTAGTAAAATTGACCAGAAGTAAAAATCGCTTACTCATCTATGAACTTGAAGTATACGTGTAGAAAAGCTAAATACTAGGTATAACTGAAAAGATTGGCACTAAATTGAAGGTTTTGGGCCGGGGGACTCAAATGTAAGGATTGAATGATATAAAAATAAGTAAATATACTGCCAAAGTTGCCGGCCATATTTCCAAGAAGCTATTAATTCCAATTTACCAGCTTACTCATTCCCATAGGGTAATTGTAACAAACATCAATGGGCTTTGTTCACTATCCCTAGCAATAATAATTAAACGCTAGGGAGAAGTAATGACTATAAAATGGAAACTTCGCAGGTCAAGATTGGCTAATAAAATTTTGATCAGAATTCAAGTCACTAAGAATTTTTTTCTTAAACTTGTCTCACTGTGAACTGAAGAACAGCGCATGGCTGAATTTAAAACCAATAGCAAAAGACTCATTTGAAAACAAGCTTTGCAACTCCCGGAATTTTTTTTAAGTGATAGTTAATTTCAGAGGAGGCTCGATCAAAAGATGGGTTCACAAGTGTCGTAATTGATGTCGGAAGTTTATATGAGGACTCACAAAAAGTATAGATATTGTTAAATTTATAACATGATTTTTGAGGCATTTTCATTGTTCAAAGAATTGCTGCGATTGGAATATAGTTCTCTGAATGCTGTTACATTTGAGTCCTTTGTAACGAAGCAGGTTAAAGCGGTCAAGATATGTCACCAGAAAGATAAATGAAAATGTAAAATATTGCCATTGACGTTCACGTTGCCGCACTTCCGAATTTAGGTCAATTTTATGATTGAAAATATACCTATATAGTTATGTTACTGTCTTCAATTTCGAGTAATTAATTTTCCTGAATTTTCCTTTATGACAAGCTTCCATAAAAATACCAAATTTAAACTATATTAATTTTATGAGAAAAGGAAACCCAGAATAGCGGGGGCTTAATGTGATTCTATGCACTGTTTATTTTCTTGCCTGAGTTGGACGCACCGGAGTTTTCCAATGTGCTTTGGAATCCACAATTTATATCAACTTTGCAATTGATGGGAAATTTGCTTCAAGATGTATGATTACATTTTCTACAATGCCTTAATTTTGAAGAATAATTAGCAGAAAAAGGATTTGATATATGAATTTAAATAAGTGAATGGCTACCTGATATAATTGACCATGTCTTCATATGACCCGCCTGATATGAATTGGCTTATTTTAACCTGCTCGATGTAAACACTTCTTCACCGAGCAACAAATAAAGAATTTAATAACAGATAAGAAACTGTAGTGAATGAAAATGTTTCTAAACTAAGCTTTTCTGGCAATGAATGGTTACGAAAAAGTGAAATGAAAGATGTATAGTACTGGACCAGCTTTAAAATTCACCCTCTCCCACTGTATTTGCTTAGCGGGAGAACGTACAACCATTGTTGACTTCCTCACACAAATTGTGTTGATCTTCCTGATGAATCTGAACAACTTCCATAAACATTGACGCTCCTGCGTGTATGACATGGTTTTATTACGCGGATACTCGCATTAAAATGTTTTAAATTAAAAACGAACAGAATTTAGTGAGTGCGTTTTAAAGTCGAGCGGCGATGAAAGTTCGGTCCATTGTAGTAATCCCCACATTAATTTGTATTTAAATTCAGTAGAAATTTTTCCAACTTCTAGTTTGTAGCTTATTTCAATTATTATTTTTTTACAAATTCGCAATTAAACGATCTACGTTTGTTTCGTTTAAATTTCTTTAAGCTTTCACATACCTTAACTTCAATCGTCTCAAAAATTGCTCTCAAAATTAGTGCAACAATTACTTTTCAATTTACAAAATAATATCATTTATTTCTTCCAAGACTGATGCTGCACATAGATTATCCCCATGGTAATATGTTTACTGAATTTTCTTCCATTTAATTTTTTGTTGCTGTTTTTTCCATTTCTCCCATTGTTCATGTCATCTTCGCCAGCATATCAAGCCGATTATGGCTACCTTTATTACCAGTAATTAATTAGATTTTGGATGTTTTAATATGAATGAATTATTCACCTCTATCGCAACTCGATATCCCATATTTCATTTCATCTTTCGATTAGAATTGAAATTTATACACACAGTAATTTATTTAACGTTAGCTGCGCAGGAGGGAACTTGATTCCTCCATAGGGATGAAAATATGGAACAAAACTCGGCATTCCTTTTCCATTTGCGGGCATTGAATACGGGAGTTTGGTGAGGCTCTTTGCTTGCCACATTTTTCCTTATAAACTTCAATGAAACCTGCAGTATATTTCATTTTCGCTGCAATTCATTAGTGCATAATTGTTCGTTGAAAGTCAATTATGAGCGCTAGGGGCGTTTTGTGTCTATGTTCCCCTATTGCACTTCATTTACAGGCCAGAATGTATTGCACTTCATTTACAGACCAGAATGTATTTGTATTGGCCAGAACACAGGCCAGAATGTATTGCACTTCATTTACAGGCCAGAATGTATTTGTGTTCATTCTATTTTATTAACACTAATGACCGGGATAGATACGTTAACAGAAATGACAGAGACTTTGTTCAAATAGTGATGCACCTATTTTTTGTGAGGGTCATCTTAAACCCAATTTTCTATTAGAAACCAGCAGCTCAGTGCCAGATGTGGAAAGTGTGTCCATATACGGACAATTTGATTCATTCGTTTTTCTGAGTTTGAAGTGGATGTATAATTTAACGTGAGCAAATTTTCATATATCGTCGATCATCAAATAATTATACACATTTTATACACAGCCCATGCCGGTTTCCTTCAGCAATACAATGGGGTACCCTAATGATAACGATCGGATTTTTGAATATTTATTTATAAAAATTATTTTGTTAGAATTTTTTGGAATGCTTCAAGTCATTTGGGACAGTCCCGCAAATTCGTCATTGCTTCTACGTCGATCTTCAGGGACATTGTGCCTAATTTTAAAAATATTCTTCTTTCGTGCGGTTAGTGGAAGGATGACCTGAGAGAGGTTGGTCATAAATTGACGTTTCCCTTTTCGGGAAGCGGGAAATTCGCTAAAAAACTTGCGTTCTCCCCACAGCATCATCCTTGTAGGATGTCTCAAGCAGTTCCTTGCCAGTTTTTCACTATAAAAAGCAAAATTTGATGGCAGCGCGTTGCTCACGAAGGTCAGCCATCATCAAAAAACCACGAGCGCGCAAGAGAAGTGGCATAGAAAAAGTTAGCTATAATGGAACGCAGACTTCCAGGGCAGCGATGATTGGTACACTAACAGAGGGATGTCACTACCATATGCGCATACCGAGAAAAGTTTCGTCCACCACGCATGCAGACCGTTTTTTTAGGTCGCCTAAAAATATAAAAAATATAAAATTTAAATTTTCATTTATGTAAGTTAGCCCTATATTACTTTCACTTATAATTACTTTTCCAGCCTTCATCCCCATAAATGCCAAAATCAACGAAAAAGTCAAATGTTTACAACATCTACTTAACATACATCTTATCAATAATTCAGCGTCTTAAATTACCTAATCAAAATTAAAGTGCATAATCATTATGTTCGTCAGGCTGACAACTAACTAATCGACGAATCAGCGAGAAGCAGACGATGCTGACGAGCAGCACGTCTCTGACGTCAACAGCAGGGTCTTCTACAGACGTGGCGTGACGCATACCATCAGCATGACGCGCCTCAGCAGCATGACGCGCACTGCCACCAGCATGACGTGCGCAGCCATCATCGTCACCACCTTCATGGTCATCCTGTTCACGCCAGGTGAGTTTATGCCCGTGGTTTATTTTTATCTATATATATTTTCTTTACAAGCAATAATGTCACTGGTTTGCTTGAATCGCAAATTCACTAAAAACTTAAAAGCAAAGAAAAGTCCACAAAAATTCATAGTATCTTTAAAGAAAACGTTTCGGAGTCCAGCTCCATCGCCAGTTCGAAAATTCTAGAACACAGATAAATCAGTAATTAGTACAGTCAAGATTACAACAAAAAACCTAAGGTGTAAAACCTACCTATTTACAATTTCAAGCGGGTAAGAGCTAAACGCTAAATTCAAACTAGGCCTCTGTTTAGGGATGGCGACGGTAAGGATGTTGTTTATTGCTCCTTTCCATATTCCAGCCCTGCATCCGAAACTATGTCAAGAGAGCTAAAACTTTTCTTTGCGAAGTATTTCACATATGTTAATCTTCGTGTCATATTGGTCAACCATTTTAAAATCGGTTTTTTTAGGTACAAAGATACTCTCCCCATGCATATGCGATCGTCCCTAGTTTATAAATATAGTTGTGCACGATGTGCATCTGCGTACGTCGGGATGACGTCTCGCAATCTTTATTCTAGGGTCGCAGAGCATAGGGGCAGGAGTTGTGTAGAACTGGTAACTTACTGTCGCGCCCACCTCATTCGGCTGTGCGGGCTCACGCCGAGCAGTGAGAGGTTCCAGTTTCTGACAGTGACTTCAAAGTTTTAACTTCCAGTTCCGGTGTTTCTGATTTGCGCATATTAGAATTTTTGTATATTTTTAAACAGAGGCCTAGTTTGAATTTAGCTTTTAGCTCTTACCCGCTTGAAATTGTAAATAGGTAGGTTTTACACCTTAGGTTTTTTGTTGTAATCTTGACTGTAATAATTACTGATTTATCTGTGTTCTAGAATTTTCGAACTGACGATGGAGCTGGACTCCGAAACGTTTTCTTCAAAGATACTATGAATTTTTGTGGAGTTTTCTTTGCTTTTAAGTTTTCTTTTCAAGGAGTCGAACAATTCTTTAGATGACGGTCCTAGACCAAAAGGCAGATTTAGCCAATAATAATAATATGTTAACGACGTTTCGAATGTAGCAACCTTCATTTTCATAGTGGATAGTGAAAATAGTGAAATTTTGTAGGACATAAGTAGATAATAAAAGTAAATAGGATACAACAAAAAAATTTCGAGCCAGAAAGTCCATTCGAATACAATCTCAATTTTTTTTAGACAAATCCGGTAGTTTGGAAATAGATAGATGGGGTCCAATTAAAAATTAAGAGGGTTCCAGCAATCGTTGGTCGGTTAATGTTGTGCACCTCTGCGTAATGATGCTGGTTGAATTGAACCCCAGAAATTGAAATTTTGTTGTACGTACTTATCTCCAACAAAATTTCACTATTCGATGTTTCTCTTAACTTAAAAGTGAATGTTGCTACATTCGAAACGTCGTTAATATATTATAATTATTTGCTAAATCTGCTTTTTGATCTAACAACGTCATCTAAAGAATTATTCGACTCTTTATATATATAGTTGTACGCAATTATTTGACTCATGAGTTGTACGCATATAAGCAAGAAAATTCTACCATCGTGTAATAATAATATATTTTTCTATCTATGTATCTATGTGTTTCGAGTAGAGCCCTTCATTAAAACAAGTTTGAGTAAAACGGTCGTCGATTTTCAAGCTCATTGATTAAATCTTATACCGATTACTAGACAGCGAGATAAACTATCACGAAAGAAGTTTTGATTAAAAAAAAAACATTCATTTGCATCAAATTTGTCTCGTAGATTGATATATACGAGGCCAGTGACGGTATACGCGTGGCAAGTGCTGGTATATACGAGGCAAGTGCTGGTATACGCGTGGCAAGTGCTGGTATACGCGTGGCAAGTGCTGGTATACGCGTGGCAAGTGCTGGTATACGCGTGACAAGTGCTGGTATACGCGTGGCAAGTGCTGGTGTACGCGTGGCAAGTGCTGCTCGATGTTAACAATGCTTATCCAGCGTGAACGCATTCATTGCGTATGATCAGGCCATTTTCATGTACAATTCATTAAGAATAGTAGAGAGTTTAGAGTAAAATTTAATTATATGATTTTATTGAGAATTCTTTTAAATATTTGACTAAGAGAACGATTTATTCTGAACGATTTATTCTGATTTTAAAGCGGTTCTCACTTACATACCACGTTATAACCTATAAATAAAACGCTTATTTGATATTGAAAATACCGTTTCTCAATTACTGTAAGTCTTTTAGTACGTGATAAAATGAAGTGGTCGCACGGTTTAAAGTTTAGACATTAGCGAATATAAGCAAACGGAGTAGAAATTGATTGTCAGAAGAAGTATCAGTAAATAGAATGTTGTCATAGCAACCACAAAAACACGTCATTCTCATGCTCCTAATATTGTGTTAGGCGCCACTCTGAAGACGTATTGTGATGCCTGAGGCTTCAGCCGCGTAGAGTTTCTTCAAAGAATGATGAATTAATACAATTAAATGAAAATGTAACCAAAATACTAAGGTGATTAAAATACAAAAGATTTCGTTCGACTCGTTGAAAAAACAATCTAGAAAATTACTGATAAAAGGAATTCTCTGGTAGTCAATTAAGCGGGCATATAGGGAGAACTTCTGCCCACTCAACATAAGAGGAATTTTAATGCACAAAAATTTAGCGTATAGAAACGTACAGTTTTTAGTATCTACAGTTTAAATAAATGTTCACCGAAAATTAGTTGAAAAATGTATCGAGGTATGCGATGTTCTTTGATGAGTCTTCGCCATGGATTTTTTTAGTTCCACTTCATCACAGAAAAACTGCACTGTGTGAATATATCTATAAAATTTTAATGTTTCTCCGAAATTTGAAATTTGAAATTTTCATTTCATTAAATCTCTTTTTGCCTCTCAAAATTTTTGACCGCGATTTTTGAGAGTAACATTATTTGCAGTAATTTTATGGGTCATGAGACATTACTACGCAACAGTACCTCTTGATAAACAGCTGAACTGTATTTTCAATTGTCAGCCTGACAAAATACGGACTAAATATAATATATAATACGGACGAAATATAGTATGCTTTACAACATGTTTTAATTTTATCGGAATATCTATTTAGTTAATCATCAAAGAACTTACCTTGTGAATTGAAGTGCATGAGACTGAATGGGAAAATGATTGGTCGTTGGAAGAAATCAACTCAAATTTGATGTCCCTGGTTTAAATTGTCGATAGCGGACAGCTCTCTACCTAATTTTATTCTTCGAATTATGTTCTCAAAATAATGTTTATTTAAAATAATCTAATGATAATAGAAATAACGCATAAATTATTTATATCAAATACATAATGAACATAACGTCCGATCCTTCGCTCGAGATCAAAATGGTCGCTCTTCATCCGTGTCTGTAACATTCTCTCATATTTCTTGCTCTGTATTTTTATTTGATGCAGTGAGATTCGTCAGCGTCCGAACGGCATTGAGAACATGTACAAACAGTTCAAGTAGAAAAGAGTTGCATTGAAATACCTGAACATATTTTCTCGTGATATCCTTTACATTATCCTCTATGGCTATTCAAGGGACCTTCGAAAGTTCCGCCAAAAGCTCTGACAGGGACACCCGTGGGACCTTCAAAAGTTCCACCATAGACACCCGTGAGGACACCTTTGTAGAAAATTGTTAAGCGACCGTACTCAAATCACTTTGTTCAATAATCCGACATTCTTAAAATGAAGACCGAATTCTACGTTATAACTTAATCTTGTATGCCGATTATTCCACTGAAGACTTTTGCCCAGCTTGCATCTTGTTTCAATTCCTTGCTGACCCATGTAGTCTCAGTCTCGCCAGCTAGCTTCAGAGCCTGCACTACTTTAACCTTTCAAATGCTCGGCCAATGATACCCATGGGGACCCCATCAAAAACTCAGCCAGGACACCCATATGGAGGTGGCATTCAAAAGCTCTGGTTGGGACAGCAATTGGGCCACCCTTGCAAAACACTGCCAGGGACACCACACCAATTGGGACAATCATTTAAAACATTGTTAGGGACACTCATGGGGACACCTTTTTAAACCCTTTCAGGGACACCCAGGGGAACACCCTTTCAAACCCTTCCAGGGACACACATAGGGACACCCTTCAAAGGCTCTGCTGAGGACACACATAGGGACACCTTTTAAAAACCCTGCAAGGAACGCCCATGGGAACACCCTTCAAAGGCTCTGCTACCGTCACCCATGTGAAACTTTTATAAAAAGCTCTGCATTTCCTGGTCAATTCTTGTCGCCACTGCAAAAGATCAAATTTAAACTTCAAAGCTTCCATCTCTATTCCCAGGAAGCCACAGAGGATCGTGTTGACGGCACGCCGGAGCCTCGAAATGAATATCTAACAATGATATGAATCAGTGCCAGCCACCTCCAATCCTGGGGCGAACATGTTAAAATTACGACGTAAATCTAATATTGGGAGTTATAATGCTTATATAGTCCAGTTTTGATAATAATACAGATACAATTCGATTAATTATACATTATAATTAATTATAATAAATATAATAATAATAATAGTACAATAATAATAATATTATAGTAATTAATGAATTATAATACAATTTGATCAATTAATAAAAGATTACAATTTAATTATATTAATTTCTGGAAATGCAAAATGGACTCGAAGAATATTAAATTTCTCATATGAGTATCACTCTCTAATATAATTTTTAATCAATATTACTAGAATGTAATTAATGGGGTGAGTGAAGATAGTTTTTAAGCAAATGAGCTACAAGGACATCTTGCAATTCAACAGACCAACTACAGACTTTAATTTTGGAATAAATATCTAAATACTAATTGGAAAACAATGGGAGCATATATGATGAACAGCTGAATTTTGAACGAACATGACGTCCGTATTGACAAGCATTGAGGTGAAGATAGAAACTAAGTCGTCATAGAATGCCTAAAGCAGGCAAAATGTCTGGGAATGAAGTTCGGTTTTAATTCTCCCGCTAAGCAATGAAAGAAAACGTTACAGAAGTATATCTAAAAATTTTCGATCAGAAAATTATACTGTTAGCCGAAAATACTAAGATTTCTCACAATGACATTATATCAAAGACTCGAATATGAAATCAAACTTGCATGTAAGTACTAATGTCACCACTTATGAAAGGATGTTGGAGGTGCACGAAATGAAAATTAGTATCAGTACTAAACCTACGGTTTCCGTCTCATTTTCAATGAAACCGTTCAATGTCTCTTTTTTTCAAAAATTTAATGTAATTATACTGGAGCACCTGTCTTTAGACCGGCGACAGGAAAATCCAATCAATAACAGCAAATATTTGAAAAATAAGCTAAAAAAATGTCTAACAGATTCCGGAATAAGTCAAGTAAAAAAACAATGAAATCAGTAGAGCTCATCTCCCCTGGTCGGGTTATATAACGACTAACCCTTTTATATATATAGTGCATTTGCTCCAGTAAAATTTTAAATTTTTATGAACCGAATATTTAATTTTAAAAGTTATTTATATTTAATAATCGAGGATTGAGTATGAATTAATTTCCGTTTCAACATCGCAGTTCTAAAAATCAAGTACATATCATGTTTTCGAATTTTTTTTAGGAATATGTAGGATTTAAATTTAAAAAATCAAGTACATACCATGTTTTCTAATTTTTTCAGGAAGATGTAGGATTTAAATTTTAAAAATCAAGTATATAACATGTTTTCATTTTTTTTCATGAATATGTAAGATTTAGAGCTATAGTCACCCGTGTTCCACGACGCAACCGAGCAATTTTTGCTGTGGATTCTTCAGTGACTGATTCAATTTAAATAACGAACGAACTGTCCGCTGCAGCTAACCTCTTCTTCTAAGCAATGAATGCAATCGTAGCAGGGATCAAGATATGTTTGTAGTTCAGCGAACACACAGAAAATACATGACATTGAAACTCAGAAGTGGTTATTAAAAATTTGAAAAGCGTTTATTCATGAGCCACCAGAAAAGAACATGATTTTCAACATGGAATGAATACATAAAGAGAATGCATGACATTGAAACTCAGAAGTGGATATAAAAAATTTGAAAGGCGTTTATTCATGAGCCACCAGAAAAGAACATGATTTTCAACATGGAATGAATGCGGAACTTCTGATCGAGCTCAGACTTTAGCCTCCATCACATGAGGCTCGGTCTTGATGCAAAAATGTCAGCCATGATGCGCTATGGTCTCTCATCTCCTAATAAAAATGATCCCCACTGAAGCTTTGCCGATCTCATTTGTCGTACACAGCAGCGGCTTTATCCTTTCTATTCAATATATAACAAGGGGAAGGAAGAAAACACTTAACGTGATGCGGCTGGAGATTGCCAGCAATCTTTTATCTGCGGGAGCCAGAGGCAATGCTTAAGAGCCAGAGCAGTAGTCGTTGACTTCATTTTATCATTTCTGAGGAATTAAGAAAGAATCGTTTCATATTTTACGTAACTTAATAAAAGTTAGCAGAGGAAAATGTGCAACTAAAAAATAATATTATTCTCAAATTTTGTATCCCAAAAGAATTTTGCTATTAACCAAATTGGGAATAAATGAAATGTTGTTAATATTTTATTGTTCATTTACGTTATAACACCTCTTGTATTCATAGTTAAACTAGGATTTTAATCCCAACTTATGAACAAAACACAAGTATCGTAGTAAACATAAGTATGTATCACAGCACATACATGAAATGTAATTCACCTTCAAATTGTTTGATTGCTCTAAAAATGAAGACATGACGATACGTTTCCAAATCATACAGTCTGATATAAATTACTGCACATTATTCATGTCAATTCATCCACTCACGGTGCTTACTTAGTGTTTTGTTGCAGCCCTCGCGTCAATTGACTGCTTCAAATGCGTGTCTGTGAACGGCGAGAACCGAGCCTGTGAAGACCCTTTCCACAACAACTACTCCACCAGCATCCTCGAGAGCCCCTGCATGGCCGGCCGCAAGAACAGAGAAGGGCTCTTTCCTGCTACAGCCTGCATCAAACTCGCCGGGGAATACGGTGAGTCTACACGGGCGGGTTTGATGTGTGGGTAAATACGGTGAGCCGATGGAGGGTAGGGGGTAAATACGGTGAGCCAACACTGGGGTGGGTTTGATGTGGGGGGTAAATACGGTGAGCCTACACTAGGGTGGGTTTGATAGGGGGAGGGGATAAATACGGTGAGCCGATGGAGGGAGGGGGGAAGGGGGTAAATACGGTGAGCCAACACTAAGGTGGGTTTGACGTGGGGGGGAAATACGGTGAGCCTACAGTGGGGTGGGGTTGATGTGTGAGGGTAAATACGGTGAGCCTACACGGGTGGGTTTGATGTGGGGGTAAATACGGTGAGCCTACACGGGTGTGGGTTTGATGTGGGGGTAAATACGGTGAGCCAACACTGGGGTGGATTTGATGTGTGGGGGTAAATACGGTGAGCCAACACTGGGGTGGGTTTGATGTAGGGTAAATACGGTGAGCCTACACGGGTGGGTTTGATGTGGGGTAAATACGGTGAGTCTACACTGGGGTGGGTTCGATGCGGGGGTAAATACGGTGAGCCTACACGAGTGGGTTTGATTTGTGGGTAAATACGGTGAGCCTACACGGGCGGGTTTGATGTGGGGGTAAATACGGTGAGCCTACACGGGCGGGTTTGATGTGGGGGTAAATACGGTGAGCCTACACGGGCTGGTTTAGTGTGGGAAGGGGGGGGGTAAATACGGTGAGCCAACACTGGGGCGGGTTTGATGTGTGGGGTAAATACGGTGAGCCTACACTGGGGTGGGGTTGATGTGGGGGTAAATACGGTGAGCCTACACTGGGGTGGGGTTGATGTGGGGGTAAATACGGTGAGCCAACACTGGGGTAGGTTTGATGTGTGGGGTAAATACGGTGAGCCTACACTGGGGTGGGGTTGATGTGGGGGTAAATACGATGAGCCAACACTGGGGTGGGTTTGACGTGGGGGTAAATACGGTGAGCCAACACTGGGGTGGGTTTGATGTGAGGGTAAATACGGTGAGCCGATGGGGGGAGGGGAGAAGGGGAAAATACGGTGAGCCTACCCTTGGGTGGTTTGATGTGTGGAATAAATAAATACGGTGAGCCGACCCTGTTTAGACCGTTAAACCTCCATGATTATGATTAATGATTAGTCGAAAATAGTTTTTGTCCAGATTATGATGAACATGCCATGCGGTTAGTGTTCGGCAGAATTTTTACTTTTATAAAAATCATGTACATGGAAATAAGTATATAAATAATACTTTTATTTCGTGAACATATAAAACGTTAGGATGTGAAATGCATACACACTTTCTGGGTATTCAGACTCAAATTTCAACTGTAAACTCATTTAAAAATTCCACGAGTAACGTTCATCAGAGTTCTTAGTTCATTCTTATACCGGCAGACATTACAAGCACCGTAGGGAGACCTTCGTTACTCAAGACGTCTCATGTATGTTCATGCAAATTTAGCGCACGACAATTTATTTCGGAGCTCCAAAGCATCTCAAGCTATATTTTCAAACAGTGACAGTAAGACTACGGGGATAGACATCTTAAGTTAGACGATAACTACTCTTCGAATTCGTGTTAGACCTGATCAATCCTAATAATCGCTTAAAAACGTATTATTCGCATATAGTATTCTACCTTCGACAAATATCATTCGTGGGTGCGTTTTAGCGTTCTTCATCGGACAATAGAAAACGTCCTGACATATGAATCGAACAATAATTATTGTAGAGCGATGTATCTATATGATAGATCATATTCACATTATGCACTTGCGCAGTGTAATAACATCAAATTTATCATGCGACTCGTCTAAATACATTTATACTGTATCGAGTGTACAACAGACTTTAGCCTTGAATTAGTTTCCCCTAACAAATAAAGTTTAGGAAGGGAACAGAGTTCATCTGTCGCCCCACTCCCGAAGTTAGGACTCGTGTGGTCGACTCGCCTGATATTCTCGACAGCAGCAACGAGTCGCGGGAGCTGTCCTGAATTTTCAATGCAGCAGTTTGTCTTCGACTCCCCTCCCCCCAGTACGAGCGACTTACTTTCTCTTCAATGCAATTCAGGGATCACTTTCTCTAACGGTCCGCTTTTGCAGGTTCTCTTTATTTATAATTTATAATCCAACTCGGAACTAAAAATAAGAAACTGAGCAATTTAAACGAGTTGCACTGACCGAGACCGAAACTTGGTGGGCATTGGTTGGAAATTCCGCGTACATATTTCATAACTTGTTTCACAATCTGCGTTGCTCAGCAATGTGGGAAAAAGCGCTCGTTTACATAGTTTCCTGTATACAAATGCACGCACACATACGCTTAGTATACCCACTTGTGAGGTCACTGAGGTCACAATAGTTCCCTCCAGAATCCATTAAATGCGAATCGAAGTGTGGATTTGAAATGTTGTAGGAAGAACTAAGATTAAACATTACAGCGAGTCATAACTGACGTGACCAAATACATCAAACTATTCCAGTTCAACGAAAAATATCCATAGCGCTATCGAAGAAGTGATGAAACAACTTTTTCTGAATAGTTTAATTTTTAGTTGCAACGAATAACTCTACGGCAGATTTACTTACGAGATTCGGAAGCGCTCATTAGTCTCCTTTACAAGGTTTTCGTAGGAGGTAGTAAACCAGGTACTGATCGATGGACCTCATTAGACCTCTTGAAATTACGAGAAACTCATGCAACGACTGAAAGGAACCGGCGTCTCTGGCTTGAGTGACGTAGACCTGGAGACGTGGCTTGAGTGACGTAGTCCTGGAGACGTGGCTTGAGTGATGTAGTCCTGGAGACGTGGCTCGAGTGATGTAGTCCTGGAGACGTGGCTTGAGTGATGTAGTCCTGGAGACGTGGCTTGAGTGACGTAGTCCTGGAGACGTGGCTTGAGTGACGTAGTCCTGGAGACGTGGCTTGAGTGACGTAGCCTTCGGCTAATTAGCTGTAATTTCTACGTCTCTGATTAGCTGCGACAGAGCTGCCCCTTTAATTGGATTTTGGCCTTCTATTAAAGCAGTTAATTTTAAAAGCAGTAGTTTTTATTGACAGTTTTCTCATTAAAAATTTCATAAAATGAGCTAAAATGACTTTAAGAGAAGACGAATTTCAACAACGTACGATGAGAATTTGTCAAGCACATTTGAAATTAGCAGCCAATATTCGTCGATTTTCTTCGAATTATTTTCACGAGATGCGGTCCGTTAAATTTCTTTGTTCTTAAAAGCCATTTAACCGGTTCGTAAAAATCCCTTTCATTGAAATGGCTCCATCATATCTGATTTACAGCTCACAAATCCTTATTTCGTACGTGAATTTTGTTTGTTATCCAACCTTGGGAGTTTGAAAAATTTGTTTTACAGAAAAACAGGCAACCTTAATTGTACTTACACATACCTAGGTTGGGTTTGATGTGATAATAAATCACATATGAATCATCATTTGATTAATTTCCTACTTCTCACTCATCCACGTTTTAAGTTAGTTACTCAAAAATACCCAAATTAAACCCATGTTTAACTAATGATTAACCAATAATAGTTCAATTTTTTCGTTGTTGCGTTCTCCCATGTCAGGTTAACATATAGAATGATTCTTCGCACATTTTTTCGCGCATAGAGGAAAGTTTTCAGTTCGTGTATCCGCAATTCTTTCATTCGAAACCTGATCACTCTTGCAGCTTGTCAGTTCTTGAATTGAAAAGTCAGTTACACTCGCGGCTGATGCCTGAAAATGACATTCGATTCCTTAATTTGGACGCACTCGTCCATCGAAAGAAAGGCTTTTTGCTTTCTCTGTAAAAACATTGCCGATGGTTGGAAAAAAGGACACAAAACGACTTAACCTAAATCAAAATAAATAAATGTAGGAAACAAAAGTCCTGTAATTCTACAGTGAAGCTTCTAGTAATTTCCAACGTAAGTTGATTAAACTATTCATAATGGTAAAAATGGTTAGCATATTATTACCATAATGGTAATCATGCACAATTACGAATAAGTGCACATCACTGACAATTAAGTCAACAAATATTCGGTCGTGTGCCAGGGGATGAATTTGGATGAATTATGTGACTAATTTGGATATCCGTAGCACCAAAGTACGTTATAAAATTTTAACTAATGCTGATTCACAACAAATTCTTCACGTTCACGCTGCACATGTAAGCAATTGAACACCATAAAAATGTGGAATGGAAATCCCTCAGTTAGCTGACTTTGATGCATCACTTGGACCGTTGACATGGAACGCTCAATATAGGAGACAGTTGCCAGACTGAACCTTAGCCTTACCTAAAAAAAATTAGATCAGTACTCACTGAAGTGAGTGACAGAGAGCGCATTTTCTCGTCGACGAAAAAGTGAAGTCACGGACGGACAGACAGACGGACGAACGGACGGACAGACGGACGAACGGACGGACGGACGGACATGACGAGCACAATAGCGTCTTTTTTCCATAAAAGAGAAAATGCGCTAGAAAGACCTAGGAAATTTTAGAGACCATTGGTGCAAAAAATAACACACTCAAAAAAACAGTTTTGCGGAACTTCTGTCTCTTGTGTAATCTGTCTGTTAGCTCTTGTGCTTCCTATCATATTTTCTTCCTTGTAAAGTGACAAAAAACGATTAATGATGAAAATTGTGTTTTCGGGTGTAATTGCTTGTTAATGGCACATCCTAATCTTGGATCATTTCCGCAACACCTCTGAACACCAGTATACGTTCTATTTATGTACGTTATCATATCACTTACCTTAACGCTTCGTTAAGAAGTCACTTCTAACTCCGCATGCAGCGTTGCACTGTATATTAATCACGTGGTTCATCACTTATTAATTATATAACATGAATTCCAAATCTTTGCTGATTATAATGTGTAAGTTCAAGAAAATTGTTCAGACGCTGCAAATATGTACCATGAACATTACTTAGGAGAAATAATTTCTCGCGAGACGCCCAAATTTTTGGGTCTAGTCAAATAACAAGTTTTGGTAAACTTCTTCTGAAACACGAAACTGAGGCGATGAAACCTTACTGCTGATATTTTATAAATTGTAGCTACTTTCGAGTAGTCTTCTACATATAAAAGTTACGGAAACTACCAAATTACGAATCAGGTAGCCAAAATAAAAATTTTCGTATGTCTCGCCCTCTTGCTGCTAACGGGAATCGTAAAGCAATTATATCTGTTGAAATTACCAAAATTGAAAAAAAGTTTCCGGATTTTGCCCAAGGTGATCCTGAAAGTCGACCGTCGGTGTCACTGAGAAGAAATCGTGCACCACATCCTGAAGCACAGGAATGATCAGATAACTTATTGCCAAAATATACAACAAATATATTTGATGATATATAAATATTCTCATAAAAACCTATTTAATAAATTCCGTTCAATATAGTATGACGTATTTTTTTACAATCTTGACATGTACAGAGTGAATTAGCTTTTCTTCATGCTGACACAACTTGGCAGCCAAAGACTATAACAACCATGATGTTTTACAGACCATTTCTTGTAATATACTATGCTCTCCAACCCAAAAAGTTCGGGTCTGAACATGTCTTGATCAGTACATATTGTGATATGCCGCAAGTTTTAGCCATAACCTGTTCTCTTCGACACACATTGTATTGTGTTGTAATTTCTTGCACATTTTTCTCACTCATGTAAACTCACACATGTTTACCTTTGATTTTTTGTATCTAACCTTGAATAACTGTAAATTTGCCGTTTTACAATAATAAGTAGGATCTTGCACTGGAGGATCACTGATCTTGCAATCAGTGAGGCCGTGTGTACCGTGTACAGAAGACGAACACGGTAACCGGACAACCTTGGTGGTCCGCAGTTGTGCACTCGATTCCGGAACCATCACAACCGATACGGAGCTTGTCCGCATGTCGCACTGCGGAGCGTTTTATCTCAACCAGTGGTAAGGCGGATTTTACGATATCATCAACTCTATGGTAGAGTAAATTTTGCATGCCTTTTCTAAAATTAAAAATATTAAGGCTATTTCAACGTTGTCATATATAACGTGTTAGAAAGTCGAGCGACTTTCCTATTCTCAAGCGACTGTCAAGGTAAGGCAGATTCCAAGAGTTACTTCTCAGATGGTGATATAGCTTTACTTTACCTCTGTGCCTCCGTGACCGGGAGTGATGTATGATGCTATGCAATATGTGTATTGATTACTGAACGATAATATTAAAGTAATTAATCGTTGAATACCTTCATAATTATAGAGACGCTGACAAAATTTTGTTATGTGTAGAAATGCACGTTAGAGAAACGCACCCTCTTTAGCAATAAATATTTAACTGTGCTCACTCCAGTAATTAGCACGCAACTAGCCTGAATGTTTTAGAATTGCATGAAATTTATACTCTCCACGCTTCTATTGTGACTAATTCTTGATCGCCTTAATACTGTTGTGTGTGTTGTTGTTCTACTACATGTATTCCAGTCTATATGGATTTTGCTTTAGTATGCATGCATAATTTTGAACGCGCATTCAATGTTTCCATTACACATCTACTGTACCTTCCATATTCTATCTTATGCAGACAGGCAATATAATACTTCCTTTCTTGACCAAATTTCTGGTAAATTCATTTTACTTCCTGCAGCGATAATTACACGTCAAATATGAAGTCTTTACACGGACTGAGATCCAGATCGAGGTCGTTGTTTATGGACACTTTTATGAAAACATAATGATCCTGGAACGGTTCGGCCGAACCATTATTCACTGATGTTACATGGTGAGAGAGGCGTACAAACAATATACAACCTTAATTTGAATAACATTAATACGTCATACGTGTAATCGAGTGTTCTCACGATTGTACAAAAAAATTATGACATTTGGTTTGTATGAAAGGTACTCATCGTTTAGAAATCATGTTAGAGTTTATAATTTTTTGAACCAAAGCAAATGATGATGTCGCAAAACTTCTCTAGCTACTCTATGATCATCGGAAAAATTAAAATCCTCGTCTGCTGAGGAAAGTTGGAGAAACAAAAATATAAACGAATTATTTTTTTTTCAACGTTGAATGGTCCTAAAAGTTTTTGCTAGCAACGAACATCTTTATGGCGAAACATTGCGGACTCGTAAGCTTTGGTGCGGGCACTGGCGTTTGATGGCTGGCCCAAGTTTGGTTTTGTTGCGCTTGCCTTAAATTTACGACCGCCTCTAACTGCCCGAAATTATCCCGTCTGAAGTTCTGTCCCGTGCCATTCTGTGCAGGGATGCCATTTGTTCCATAGCGAGCAGCATAACTGTGCATTATTTTCAAATAAGAATATTATTCGACATTCAATTGTTTTAAAATTCATGAGTAAGAAATCGCAAATTTTGGCTGCATTACTACAATATTTCGAATAATGTTATCAGGTTAGAATTTTCAATAGTTTTTTATCTGTTTAGGGCGGTAACTGTTTTGCACCGAACAAGCGAACGTAGCATTCGGGATGTTAATATACAGTGCGATATTTGGACTATACAACATTCATTATCAAGTAATTAAAGTATGTTTATAATTATATGACATTAATTATGAAGTGATTCTCTCGCAATCATTCGTAGCATTCGGCATCAATCAACTGGTGACTTAATATTTTTTCTTCCTACCTAGACCCGAATAGTTCATTGCATTTAAACATCACTTCAAATATTTTCCCCCCTACATATCTTGACTTGACAAAGTAAACTGTTATATGAACGATAAAAGTCGTTAACAAAAACATACGAATAATATACGGCAGTTATTCGTGAGCAAACATGCCCGAGTCCGAGTATGCTAGCCACGCATCTCATGATGGCGGTTGGAAGCAGCGGCACAGCATCAAAAATGCGCGGTGATGGATAGTTGCGGTGCTTTATGAAAGAATGCGGTGTCTGTAGCAATGTGGTGCGACTCTGGCTTTAGGAGAATACGATCTTGTTATTAAGCCAGCCTGTGCGAGACATATTGTATCAGCGTTAAAAAATACTAGGCGGGAGCTACGCGAGATATGCGGGACTCAGTTGCGTGCTCTGCAATGATGAGGTGTGTCGCCAACGGAGGAATCGGTTTTCGGGGCGAGATGTGACAGCAGGATGTGGCGTGACAGCATGATGTGGCTTTGAAAAGAAAGATGTTGGAGTTCCAAATCTGTCGTAAATTAATTCCATGGATTACAACTTTACAAATTTGGCATTTATCAATTAGTCGTTAGAGTTAAAATGACTTTGGAGAAGTTGAGCCCTGTTGTAAATTACTTGACTTTGATTTATTATAAAAAGTTGACATGTAGGCCTTTCATGAGAAAAGGATAACACACATAGTTTAGCGTTAATTTCATTTCTGTTTTGGGAATTAATGTTTGTTAAATTACTTTCAAAGAAGCTTCGGTTATATATATTTATTTTACCCTTATTCGCCAAACAACTGTTACAAATTAAGGTTTTATGTTAAAATGTGTCTCCTACCATCAAGAAAAGGCAATCATTATTCTTCATTTCGATAAACGATATTTAAAAAAATATTGAGAATTCATTAGCTAAATTTATTCATTTAATCTTATGCCTAAAATTAACTTAAAAAAAGCTTCATATATTATGTCTATTATAGTAAAAACAAACTTTCATGATGATGCAAGCACAATTTTCAAATTAGATTTTTTAATAAAGTTCTCTTTTCGAAGGAGAAAACAAAAATGTTCCACAAGCCTAGCATATATATATGTCCGTTTTGGCTATTTTAAAATGTTTTTCGTTTTAGTTGTTATCTTGTCTCATAATATAAGTTCAAACATTCAATAATGCAGCTTGATTTCATTACTTTCATGATATTGATTCAGTCTTGATATTTTTGAGATCCATCTCATGAGAGAGATTACACATTACATGAGATTACACCTCATTTGATTTTGTTTGAGTTACTCTAGTTTCATCTGTCGGCAGGGTTCTTGTGAAGTTTAAGGCCCAACGCTTTGTTTCAATAGATCCAGTTTTCTTTGTGTAGGAGTTATTTAGTGCCGTATTGATAATGCTACGGACTCGTGCAACACCGATATATAGGCCTTGTCAGGTTACACACTCCATTCGCTCGCCTAGTTTACCCATTGGGTAGAAATACTATACTAAAGACAGAATAATAAATGGACATAATGTGTCACAAAAATTAACCTTTAAGTTAGGAATAACATATTAAGAGACCATTAGTGAAATGTTTTGAGAAGATAAACCCTTTAGGTAGGAATAACATATTAAGAGACCATTAGTGAAAAGTTTTTGGGAAGCTGAACCCTTTAGGTAGGAATAACATATTAAAGATACATTCATCAAAGGGGGAACCATTTCGGGAAAGATTGACATACCTTCTGGTAGGAATAACATATGAAGAATGCATGCATCAAAGGGTTCAGTGTGTTGGAAAAGATTAAAGTACCGGGCGCCTGCAGCAGACACTGGCGTGAGCGTCGTGGTGCGGGACTGCGCCCTGGACAGCGGAACACTGACCACCGACACCGAGATCATCCGCATGTCGCACTGCGGCAGCTTCAAGCTCGAAGGAAAGTAAGATAAAATTCATAAACGTATAACAAATAAAATGCTTGAGAATTTCGTTCTAAGTTAACCTAATGCGAGGAAAAGTTTGCACGCAGTGAGAGAGGGCAAAAAGTTTTGTAAATTGTAAGCTTGAATGTTAAGAGAAAGTAGAGCGACACATAAATTTGGTTTAAAGATTTAAAATTCTTTAAAGAACCTATAACTGGGAAAAGATCTTCCCCAGCTAATGTAAATATCATGGAAATGGCGGACGGATTCATATGGCAACTGATTTTTCTTCGGCATCTTGCAAAAAAGTTCAGAGTTAAGTTGGGAGTAACATTGAATGAGAAAAAACAAAGCGGAATCGGATTTAGAAATCTTATGGTCTCTTTGGGCACAATTATGCCACTCTTGACGCCAATGCTGCCTTCTCGATCGACCTAGAGATACCAGGAAGGCATTCTCCACCGCTCCTTGGAGATTTTGTTAAGGAGCTCTCGACGCAACAGTTCAGGTAATTCTTACACTTGGTGTACTCCCACTCAATATAATTGTTTAGAAGGTTGAGGTCAGTTTAAGTTGGTTTGTGAGACAATACGTATGACGGTGAGAGAAATTCTTCAAGATGCATGCCTCGAGTTCCTTCCTCTAGCTTTTATTTGGCTTTGACTATTGTTATTAAATAATGACTCGTGTATGATTCCTATCTGCAGACATTTTTAACGAAGGTTACAAAAACAAAATGTTCATTGGCGACGGACCTTATAGCAAACCAGTGACGTCTGGACTGGTTGCAACCATGACTGTAAGCAAATTATCAGTCGCTGATTATTGTGTTGAATAATCGAAAATGATGATACTTGTTTATAGCAGCAAAGAAAGTAGCAGAAATTATGGCCACAAAGAAAGTGGCAGAAATTATGGCAACAAAGAAAGTGGCAGAAATTATGGCAATAAAGAAAGTGGCAGAAATTATGGCAGCAAAGAAAGTGGCATAAATTTTTACAGCAAAGAAAGTGACCGAAATTATGGCAGCAAAGAAAGTGGCAGAAATTCTGGCAACAAAGAAAGTGGCAGAATTATGACAGCAAAGAAAGTGGCAGAAATTATGGCAGCAAAGAAAGTGGCAGAAATTATGGCAGCAAAGAAAGTGGCAGAAATTTTTACAGCAAAGAAAGTGACCGAAATTATGACAGCAAAGAAAGTGGCAGAAATTATGGCAGCAAAGAAAGTGGCAGAAATTATGGTAGCAAAGAAAATGGCCGAAATTATGGCAGCAAAGAGTGTGGCAAAAACCATAGCGACAGAAAATGTGGCTTAATTATGGCAGCAGAGAATTCGGTAGAAATTATGGCGGCGGAGAATGTGGCAGAAAATGTAACGAATTTAGCTGAATAATTTAGCGCTCATGCATTCATTTGGTTTCCTGCCATCAGAGTAATAAACAAATAGCAATTTATTTGAAGAGAACAAAGTTAAAATTACTTCATCTTCTCTCGGTGCTATTTAAATTTACAAATTACATTTTTTGCAACCGAGCAAAAAATTTGATTAGCGCAATTTTAGTCAATTTGCTGGTAAAGTAACCGGGGATTTATAATGAAAGCAAGAAAATTTCAAGCATATTTTTAACTTTTGACAAGTCTTCGTAGCTAAAATCTTGCTGTTCAACTAAAAAATGTTTCAAAAACAGTTGGGGTAATCAGAATTTCGTTAGTAAAAGTAATAGAAATACGGACACAAAAATTCTCAGTGAAATACTTATAGAGTGACAGTAGTTTTTCGTCTCAACTTCAGTGCACAAAAAGGTTAAGTGCAGCAACTTTGCTTTGAAACCGTCGCAAAGTTGCATATTTCGGTAAAATTTCGAGATGAATTCCGTTTGAACGTTAAGAATACATTTTAAGCGTAAGACCGGATTTCCAGATATTATGTCCTTGTCCATGAAAAGGCGGTAGCGCTTACAATGCTCTAACATCTCCTTAACTTCTAATAAGACGGCCTATCAAAATTAGCGAACAATTTACATTTACATCTTTTTTTTCGTCCCCAAATGCAAAGTTATCACGACGCTCAAAGCTTCCAGGAAAATGTATTGGTCAAAAGGTCCAAAGACTGACTCAATTTATACACGTACCTCTGATACGTCCATTCTTACCGGGCTGGAATAGATCAGGATGCCTCGGAAAAATATAAAACTTGCATCGGTATTTAGACAAAGTCTTAGTTATTTCTTTGATTGTAAATTTTAGCTTTTTCGGCTTAAGAGGATGCAAAGTTACTCGCAATTTAATCGTCCACTTGACATGTTAACCGTCGGCGAACCAGTGACAAGTTCGGCATTATATATATCACGATCAGATTTGAACAGTTAAATTGTTTCATGATGGGGATATCAGATAGAAAATATAACGCTGTAAATTTTGAGTAATTTCTATACTGTTACAGACCGTAATATCAAGGATAAAAATACCTTTTATCAGAATGGATGAAACATTTCAAATAAATTAGACTCCGGATTAATGTTTCGTTTCACTTAAATTGCTATGCATGCATTATATGTATACTTACGCAACTAAGTCCGATTACAGCAATTCCACAGTTCAATTGATTAAATTTTTATGTACTTTAAGTCTAATTAATTAAAGTTTCAATTTCTCATCCTATAATACCTTTTAATCTTTTCCTTGAAGTTAATGTATTAATCGACCGGAAGTTATAAGTTTGCTCACTTTAAATGGGGTTTGATTGTAAATTGGTATATTGATGCCAACGTCACTGAAAACTCTATTAAACATGCATGGTTTTCCTTAATATAGTGGAAGATTTGTTTAGCATTCACATCATTTCAGTACTCTCGATCCTGGTCTACAATATTTTCGATGTCAGCAATGATATTTTTCGATATTTATCGAGCATTTATTTACGAGTTTCGATATTTATCGAGCAGTTTACAATTTTGCCATTATTTCCAACATAATCAAGTGAGATAGAGTTATTATCAACTGTTAATAGCGCTTGGTGTCGTTCTTGCTTCTCCTTGTTATGAATTGCGGAGTACAAAGTTCCATATAATGTTCACCAGAAGGTTCAAAACATTTAACTCAGTTGTGCTCGGACATAGCTTCATAGACTGCAAGCACGTCCAGGTCGTTAGAGGCTCGCCACCATCGCAGAGAACGCGCGATGCCGTCTTATTAGATTAAATTATTAACTTATATTTTATTAAATTATGTTATCTAGTAATTATTAATTAGTTATTATATTAAATTCGGGCGCAGGGTGCAGCGGAGGTCGCCGTGCCGGTAATAAGGCTTGGCAGCTCATCAGCGTCGTTACTCCTGATGAAGAAGCTGATGAGATGTCGCTGACACCCGGCACACTGCGCCGACCCTATTGATGCCGTCCATATTAGCATGCCGCCCCTTATTGGGATGATGTCCTTAGGATACCATCCTTATTGGGATGCTGTCCTTAGGATACCATCCTTATTGGGATGCTGTCCTTAGGATACCATCCTTATTGGGATGCTGTCCTTATTAGGATGCGGCCCTTATTAGGATGCGACCAATTTAAGCGTTTGGAGCTAAACCTTCCAAGCGTTCCGTTGTCATAAAATCGCTTACAATGTTTAGCAGCATGTCAAGCATGATGAATGTTTTAGAAGTTAAGCTTGAAAGTTGTATAGATTTTCATAAATTCATGTCTTAGTTTATAGTTAATTGATCCATTATCTCTGCTTGTAGCTCTAGCAAAGGATTATTGAATGTGCTTCTCTTTTTTGAACATTTTGATATATTCAAAGTGCTACACATAAAACTCAAAAGTTATAATGCTCTGAACATTTTTCACGGACTTATAATATTTCAACACCACTGCCATATGAACGCTGAGGTGTTTTACATGCAGATATGTTAACGACATTTTCAAGCTGCCAAACTGAGAGGCAAATCGCATAAATTTCTATGATTGACGACAGAGCACAACAAAACAGTGGTATATCTTTTCCATTGGTATGGTTTTGAAGTTTAGATGATTCAGATAATATAATATAGTAAATATACCATATTCATAATATGGATATATACATAATACATACCATTTACATAATATACCTGCTACGACACGCGACTGCCTCTCGTTTTTTTTCCCCTCGCAGGTACGTACGTGGTTGCCTGCGAAGCTGTGACGATGCCGATGGCTGCAATTCTGCTGCATCGTCGTTCCTGAATTTCGGTCTTCTTCTCCTAACTGTTTTGGTGGCGCACAATGTCCGACGCTGAAATGATGAACTACAGATTATTCGGTTTATTTGCTGTTATCCTTTATCGTCTCAACGTCGTATGTCAGATCACTAGCTGACTTCACGCCTAAGTTTTGGAATCTTTGGAAGAATTTCTTTAGTGTTGCATGTACTCATGATTGGATGCAATTTGTAAGATATCTCAGTTTGATCCATTAGCCTTGGGCTTAAGATATCTTTATCGCACAGCCTCCTCAGTATACGTTTTTTGTATGTCGTTATAGTACATACCTTAATGGCATCTCAGCAGCAGGACATCAAAAGCCCTGTCTCAGAGAACATATGCATTATTTCAGTTCTGGTACTGTTTTACTGTGGACTAGTCCCAGCAAACGTTCCGGTGCTGACGCCAGTTTACGGTCTTGTGGCCAGACTTCACTTCCGGGTGTTTGCTGCTGGCGTTTCTCAAGTCCTCGACAAAGTGATAAAAATCCCATAACCTCGAGGACCGACACCCCTGAGGGCCCAACGCCAATAGCCTTTCTGGCCGAAAATTGTTGCGTGTGTTGCAGGAGTTGAAGACCAACATCCACGAGACCAACTATATTGTGTGGAGGATTAATGGATGAAATGGGTGATGTGTGGAGGATTAATGGCTGAAATGGGTGATGTGTGGAGGATTAATGGATGAAGTGGGTGATGTGTGGAGGATTACTGGCTGAAATGGGTGATGTGTGGAGGATTAATGGCTGAAATGGGTGATGTGTGGAGGATTAATGGCTGAAATGGTTGATATTTGGAGGATTACTGGCTGGGATGGGTGATGTGTGGAGAATTACTGGCTGAAATGGGTGATGTGTGGAGGATTACTGGCTGAAATGGGTGATGTGTGGAGGATTACTGGCTGAAATGGGTGATGTGTGGAGGATTAATGGCTGAAATGGGTGATATGGGGAGGATTACTGGCTGAAATGAATGTTGTATGGATTAAATGGATTATGTGTCGTTTTAGAGAAGTAATAACTGGGATAAACACCAATTAAAGCGCTTAATCCAGATTTTATACGATAGATTCACTGTGCGATTAAATCGTATTGGAAGCCTTTGAAGTCGTGAACCAACACGGAATAATTCATTGTTAAACAACACTGTCTGCTAGAGCAGGTTTCCAATATCCTCCTTTGAATAAAATTAAATAATTTAAGTCGATTTAAAAATTGGGACTTGAGGTTAACTGGTTGTGCATGTTTAACAGGCAATTCTTTAGTTTCCAATGCCATAATTCAAGTTGTTTGCCAACTTAATGGATGAAAGTTGCAAGCATCGTTTGCAGACTTCACCTTCATTCACCTTCAACAAAATTATATAATTTAAGTCGATTTAAAAATTGGCACTTGAGGTTAACTGGTTGCGCAGGTTTAACTGGCAAACCTCTAGTTTCCAATGCCATAATTCAAGTTGTTTGCCAACTCTACAAATGGATGAAAGTTGCAACCATCGTGTGCAGACTTCGTCTTCATTGCAAGCCGCAGCGCACGCAATTGAATGATTGTATGAACAAGGCAAGCGCGCCGTGATCTGCCGTAGTCAATTCTTCGAATTACTTTATGGGTTTAATTCGATAAAGTAATATTCTGATTTAATTCAATGTTAATTTTTTGAATTGTAAGTAATCTAAAAATATGGAGAAACTCGTATAATCGAGTATTAGGCTGAAATTATTTCGTTTATGAGAAAATTTTTGCAATAAAAATACATATTGTAAATAAATGTGCTTAATTCAGTGATGGGAAATTGTCAAACTAATTTTGGGGCACAACTAACAAGCATTGGGGCACAAAACATCAACCAAGGACTGTTGTGTACTTGTGATGGCCTTAGGCCGTTAAATGAATTTTTCTGACAAGGTGCTGTTCATTTTTCTCTGAGAGTCTCTCATGTTATGGACTTCATAAATGCAGTTTTACTTCGAAAACTGAGATGAGGAGGCATTTTTCAATCCATTTTCTTTTCTCCAAAAGACTGTGAGAAAAAAAATCCGGAACATTTGTAAAAATATCAGGAAATATCAGGATCTTGAGATCGAGAAGGATACATACAGCAGGATAAAGCACCCAATTGAAAAGCAAGCAAAAAACAAATTCTGGGTTCATTTATATTCTTACATTTGTTATATAAACTATATATCTTGAATAAATATATTTACTATATATTTTTCTTCGACTTCAGATAATGATTATACAGCAGTTATCTGTCTGCGATGATTAACAGTTACGGCAATTCCTTGAACATCTGTAAAATATTCAGTCGCGGGATTTACTACGTAAGATGTGGTGCAGCCCTCGTTAAATGTTCGATTGAAATATTAAAGGAGAAGTTAAACAAAATTAAATCCGGTAAATATAAAATAAATTACAGACTGAAAAAGTAACGAACAACATAGCTGCGAGAACACTTTACTTATTGTAAAATTATGAACGGAATTTAAATTAAATGTTATCATATTCCCTACTTGAATGCGCTGCATTGGTTGATTATATGAACCGCTGCAATGTAATTTTTTATTTATTTCGTTTTTTTATATAATTAATTAGAATATTTGTTAAAGTGCACGATGGTTTTAAGGCGGAAAGTAAAGTTAAAGCCTTGCACGACCGCGACACTAGCTTCACGTACATTTGTTGTATGGTGCTTTGTAGTTCCTTTAGAAATCCTTAGCAAGCCCGGGTAGAAAATTCAGTATATATTAACAAACTTTACCTCGAGAAATTCAGTATTCTTGCTTATGATATATGATCAAATGGACCTAGTAGCAGTATATGCCAGTGCAGATTCAAGGCTGGAAATTCTTCAAGAGTACAAAAACTTGGTAATTCTGGAGTGAATCGAAGGTGATCATTGCTGAGAAATTTGAAATTTAGAAAGGTCGATAATTATCATCTCGTTTCTTTTCACCGAAACGAGATGCCGATTACTTTTCGGTAAAAACTTTTCGTTTTTCATTTTTTTCGGTCAGCAGTACCATACCGAACTAAAAAAGAATCATAATTAAGAAACCTCCATAAAAGAGTTTCTATGTTGTAATAAGGATTCAGAAATTTTTCTTTGTAAACTTCACAATAATTTAGCCGGTCGGGGAACATTTATCTTATGAATTCTGTACCGTCTTATATCTAATTATATATTATTTTCTATTATATGTATTTTCCTATCTATTTACTAGCAAGTCAAATGTTCATAATCATAAACTTCATAAACTGCTTTCCTCCCTAGATACCTACTTAGTTATAGTTAAATTGACCCAAGAAAGTTCAACTCTGCCAGTACGTAGAGGAGGAAATATTTTCAAAAATTCACAGAAAAATGTCTCCCAAACTTTTTTTTTTCTCTGAAGAGTTTTACTTGCGCTTATATAATAGCGGGCACCTATAAATATTTTATATTTAATTTTATTGACCTTGAACCCAAGGCAATTTTCGACATTTGTTTCAGAGGACAAAAATTATCAATGAAATCAAGATTCTGACTGGGGTAATTTGATCATCTCGCAAATATTTTTTTTAATAAATGTCGCCGTCGGCAATGAAAAAAAATCATTGACATTTGTCCGATTATATTGAGCGAGAAAATTAGTCTTTCTCTTCGGATTATTCTGCCACAGACGACACACACACGAGATCGTATAGAAAATCTCTCTCAGCTTAATACTATATATACTATATATACTATATACTATATACTATATACTATATACCATATGCCATATAATATATACTATATTAACGCCTCACGTTCACCAAGCTGTTATTTGGGTACCAATAATTATAACAACAGCTTAATCGGCAATACCGTCTAAACTCTTATTTGAATTGTTTACGTTGGATTATGATTTTCGATCTCGAAGCGACGCCTAGTATTTAATATCATGGAGTAGAATGTAAGTAGTAATACAGGAATTGTGTTAGTGGAATTAAAAATATAAGTTATTTATCGTATTATATTAGTAATTGTGTCGGACACACTTAGTTCTTCGCACTTAAAGTGTTGTAATTTAAAATTATTTTTAAGGCAGAAAATTATGTATCTTACTGAGGAGTTTTTCAATGAGCAGATTTTACAATTAACTTTACACACCGAATGCAAGCTGCCATTTTGATTTTGATTTCGAATTTTGATTTTACGTTTCTTTTTGCGCCAGAATTCATGAAACTTATCTCATGAATATTCAATTGTATGAAAATGTCCAGTATTAGATCATCTTTTGCTTTCATGGCCGCGACAGAATACTGTTTTTGCAACGTTCAGTTGAAATTTTAAATAATATGAGAAATTGCGCTGAGTTTCAAGTCCTGTTGAATAAAAACTATTGTCTAAGGTATCTTTATTCAATTCTTTCAAGTTGAATCTTTCATTTCATAATCAAAATTGAATGCTTGTAAGTTGATTTATTTTTTTTAGATTTTGACGCCAAATTACGAACATGAAGGACTAACGAAAATATTTTTAGCGCTTGGTAACCATGGATGGAGCAAAAAACTTCATGCCGTTATTTTTTATTTCAGTTTCCGTTCAATTACCGCAGTTCGTTAACTTGAACCAATAAATATTAGCTTGGTAGCTTTATAATATATATCTTGCTTAGCATGTTAGTACCCTTATATTTTAAAGAGTACTTCACTTATAGGTCCAATATATGGGATATATATAATTATTTTAGCTCAGGTAGAATGCACGTGCAACAACTCTGTAGTAACCTCGAGTAGTAAATGTTATAACGTATGAATATTGGAACAAATGAATTCAATATTACTGACGCCTTAAACTCAGGACCACTGACAGGATAAAGGCACCGATGCTTCATAGCGAATTAAGTTCCAGTAGCTGCCAACTAGTTTTAAATGTATTCAAGAGCTATTCGAGTGCAATCAATGCTATGCATTAAATACCTAGCGTAAAAATTCCAAAATACTTTTTCTTAATTGTATGATCCCATTGAAGTAATGAAAGTCTGTGAATAGTTTTGGAAAATTAAAAAAATATTTAATTAATATTCTTTTCATTATGGTTTAAAGGCTTTATTGTTTTTAGTAAAATGTTGCATCTAAATTCAATGTGATGAAAAATCAGAGTATGTATGGTGCCCAGTGGCAACACTAGCAACACGTATAGGGGCACTAGTATGTAAATCCAAATCGTATGTGTGGGGCGCACTCTAATGTACAGGAGCGGGGACAGAACAATCAGCTTCTCCCAGT